CAAACGTAACATTCTACATTCACAAAATAAAAGATCATCCCATCGGTGCCCCTGGAACAGTGCCCGAATACATCACGAAGAGCAGGTCGATCATTGCCTTACTAGGGGACAAACTTGGCCCGTACAACGACAAGCTATGCTTTTTCCGGTGCCTAGCACTCCATCGACATTGCGATCGCACTAACCTAGAAAGGGCGACAAAGACGCTCCACCATGAATATCTGGCTTGGGCGGGCAAGACGGTCAAACAATTCAAGGGTGTGTCCCTGAAACATCTGAACGATATGGAGGCATTGTTCGACGTGGACATTTACGTTTACGCCCTCCAGCCGAACGACGACGAGGACGACGCCGCCGCCGATTTCTTTGCGGAGCTGGTCAGGCGCCCCCTGTCCACACATAACAACATCATGTATCTGAATCTTTGCGGGGAACATTTCAGTTACATTAAAGATTTCAAATCCTACGCCAAGTCGTTCGCGTGCCCGCAGTGCGGCAAGAGATGGAACCACCGCGGGCACTGCGAAGTGCACATCCGCACATGTGACGGCAAGGCGGCAAGAGAATACCCAGGGGGCGCCTATCACCTCAAGCACACAATCTTCGAAAAGCTGCAGGACGAAGGCATTGTCGTCGCCGAAGAAGATCGATTTTATCCTTACAGAGCCTGTTTCGATATAGAATGCCTCCTGAAACCACTGAACGACCCCAACACGACCCCCAAACTACAATGGGAGACCGTCCACGAGCTCCTGAGCGTTAGCGTGGCCAGCAACGTGCCCGGGTACACGGAGCCAGTGTGCTTCGTGTCGGAGGGCGAGCCGGCCGAAGTGGCAGAAAAGTTGCTGGACCACCTAAAACAGATCAGCCAGGAGTCGTACGGTCTCCTATCGGCGAAATTTTCTTGGGTATTCGACAGAATGGACGCCATCCGTCAAAAAGATCTTGACAAGGAGGCTGAAGAAAAAGAAGAAGAAGGTGAGCCAGAAGACGAGCAGGCGGCCGTCGACAAGATCAAGAAGCTGGAGAAGCGGCGGAAGAAACATTACATGACGAAGTTGATGGAGGAGTTCGAGAAGTACCTGAAACAGCTGGTGGTCCTCAGCTTTAACGGCGGCAAGTACGATCTTAATGCCGTCAAGAAAGTGTTCCTGCCCCTGCTGCTGAGGTCCACCAGCAAACTCCGTCCGATCAAGAAAAACAACAACTACATGTCGATCGAGACGGACGACCTGAAGTTTCTGGACTTGATCAACTACGTCGCTCCCGGCTTCTCCTACTCCATCCTTCTCAAAGCATACGACTGCGAGGAAACAAAGGGTTTCTTTCCGTAAGTGGACATCTTTGTTGTGCGTTTCCCTTGTTGGTATGTTGTTGTTTGTTTGTTTGTTTGTTTGTTGATGTGATCATTGACGTCTTCTTTTCCCATGTATGTGACAGATACGAGTGGATGGACAGTCTGGACAAGCTGGACGAGCCCCGCCTCCCGGGTCCTGACGCGTTCCACAGCAAGCTGAGGGACTCGGACATCGAGGCGGAGGACTACCAGTACTGCCTCCAAGTATGGGAAGACCAGAGCATGACAACCATGAGGGACTTCCTCGTGTGGCAGGTGTACATGTGACAGTACGTCTTTTTGTGGTCTTTATCGATGTGTAGAACATCGTCGTCAACAGAAGATTAATCTTCATTTTTTCTTTGTTCCTGCAGGTATAATAACAAGGACGTCGGCCCCATGGTAGATGCCGTCCAGAAGATGTTCGATTTCTACAAAGATCTAGGAATCGACATGTTCAAGGACGGCATCAGCGTACCGGGGCTGACGTTGAAGTTCCTGTTTATGAATCTGCCATCCACCACGTACTTTACGTTGGTAGACAACGAGGATGTGTACAGGTTGTTTAAAGACAACATTGTGGGGGGCCCTAGTATCATTTTCCATAGACACCACGAGAAAGGCAAGACCTACATCAGGGCCGACGAGATGAAAGAGATGGGCAGAGAGCCCAAACTCTGCGGAAACGTCACCGGTTTTGACGCCAACGCGTTGTACCTGTGGGCCCTGATGCAGGACATGCCTTCTGGTCATTACATTCGGCGTCAAGCGGAGACGGGGTTTAAACCGGAGCATTCCGCCCCCGCCCGCGGACGCATGGCCACAGAGTGGTTAGATTGGGTGGCCCAAGAGCGAGACCTCGCCATTCGGCTCCAGTTTAATAGCACCGAAAAGCGTATCGGTCCACGTCGAATTCCCGTGGACGGTTTCTGTTCGGCCACCGGGGAAATTTTTCAGTTTCACGGTTGTTATTGGCACGGCCACGCCTGCAACCTGACCAAAGGCCGCGACTACAACGAAAGACGCGGCAAATCTTTGGCCACTTTGCGGGCGGAAACGGCCGAAACGACCGAATACCTACAAAAGTGTGGGTACACGGTCGTCGAAATGTGGGAGTGCGAGTGGCTGGCCATGGTAAGGACAGACGATCGATTGTCGTCGTTTGTGGCCGGTCGCAAGACTCCCACCGAACACCTTCCCGACATGACCGAGGAGCGCGTCCTCCAGGCTGTTCTTTCCGGGCAATTGTTTGGTGCGGTCGAATGCGACATCGAGGTTCCGGCAAACCTCAAGTCGCACTTTTCCGAAATGCCTCCCATCTTCAAGAACGTAGACATTTCCATCGACGACATTGGCGACTACATGAAAGCGTACGCCGAAGAACATAATCTCATGTCGAAACCGAGGCGATCTCTGATCGGGAGTATGTTCGGTCGCAAGATCCTCTTGGCCACGCCTTTGCTAAATTGGTACCTGAAACATGGTCTGCAAGTCACCCGCATCTATCAGGTGATGGAGTACAGACCAAAACCTAGTTTCAAATCTTTCGGCGACGCCGTCAGTGACGCGAGGCGTAAAGGCGACGAGGACAAGTCCAAGAAGATCATCGCCGATACCATGAAGCTGATCGGCAATTCGGGTTACGGTAAGACGGTCACCAACAAAGAAAACAGACCGACGTCGAGTATTGCGAAGACGTCGTGACCGCCACCCGAAGGATCAACACCTCCCGGTTTCGACATCTGGTCGTGGTCAATGACGAAGGTTTCTTCGAAATTGAATCGGCAAAACGCAAGATCAAATTTGATCTCCCTCTCCAAATTGGCTTCTTCGTGTACCAGTACGCCAAATTACGCATGCTCGAGTTTTACTACGACTTCATGCTCGAGTTTGTGGACGTGTCCGATTTCCAGTATTGCGAGATGGACACGGACTCAGCCTACATTGCTCTATCTGCAAACAGCCTTGACGACGTGATAAAGCCTCACATGCGGGAGAGGTACAACCGAGAGAAATCCGACTGGTTTCCCCGGACAGACACCCCAGAAAACGCGGCCTACGACAAACGCACGCCCGGTCTGTTCAAAGAAGAATGGAGCGGGAATGGGATTGTCGGGCTGTGTTCCAAAACATATTATTGCTTTGGCGGGGAAGACAAAACACACGACAAATTCAGTTGCAAGGGTGTTAACAAAAGATGCAACGACATCGACCACCAAAAATATCTCCGGGTGCTGGAGACCAAGAGAAGTGGTCAAGGCATCAACAAAGGGTTTCGCATGCGTGGTAACGAAATGCACACGTACGTGCAAATCCGTGATGCCTTTTCCTACTTCTACCCGAAAAGGAAGGTAAAGAATGACGGGATCACCACTCTTCCCTTAGACATATAAACCTGTCCGTCAACCTGTACGCGTCGCCGTTGTCACCTTCATCGATGTCATGACGTTCGTATTTACTTATTTGTATATTTGTATGTGATCTCATATATTTGTACAGTATGATATTTGACTACTTTGTGAAATCGATGTCGCGTGTTTGAATTCTTTGTGAAACCGATATCGTGTATTTGAATACTTATGATCTGTATATACGTTACATATTTTTAAAATATGTATATACATCACATGTGTGTATTCTTGTTGTCGAGAAACGAATTCAACGAGGAACGAGTGTTGCTTTAACTTGCTTCTATTATTGCGAACAAACGCATAACGTGACGTGGCTGGAAATATGTGTACAATCTGTATGTACACCAAACATTTGTATTCTTGTTGTGAAGTCAACGAAGAATGTTGCTTTACGCCGCTGTTGTCGTATATTTGAATACGTATAATCAGCATCTACGTTACGTGTTTGTACAAATTTGTATGTACACCAAATATTTGTATTCTTGTAATGAAATTAAACGAGGAACGAGTGTTGCTTTACACCGATGTTATCGGTAATAAACACACAACATAATATGGCAGGAAATCATTTGTCGCGAGTTTCAATGTGTGTGTGTGTGCGTAACATAGTGACTCATGAGTGACTCATGAGTGACTCATGACATGAGTGGCTCATGAAATGAGTGACTCATGAGTGACTCATGAGTTACTCTTGAGTTACTCATGAATGAGTGACTCATGAGTTACTCATGAATTAGTGACTCATGAGTGACTCATGAGTGACTCATGAGTGACTCATTTACTTTGTATATATATGTATGTACATGCGATATATCTACATATGATCGTTGCAAGAATACACAATACCGACAACCATGGCAACTATACTTAGTTGTTACAAATACACTTACTCCGGAGTAAAAATTTTACTCCAAAACAGAGTAATATTTACTCCGGAGTGATATTTTACGGAGTAATACTTACTCCGGAGTGATATTTTACTCCGGAGCAACACGTTTATATCGAAACACATACATACACGTATGCTTAATGCGAACATATGTATACATGTGCACTTTACATCGGAGTGAGTGTACTTGTGTTTAGTACATGCTATATCTTTGTTACGCACTTCCGTAGCCTGTTTGCATACATCGACACAAAGATACGAAAGACAGTATGGTTTCGTCACACTTTATTCACCACTTACCAATCAAGAATGTGTTGAGGAAGAAATGCACAGGCCACTCATACGTTACTCATCAAATATGTGTTGACAGCCACTCCACGGAGTAGGGCGAGTCCAATGGTGTTAGTTCTTAGTCCTTTTGTTGACGTTGACGTTGACGCTCCTTCCTGGCCATCCTTTTTGCCTCCACGGCGGCAACTCTCTCGCTTTCAAAGGTTGAGACAGCCGTGTAGGACATCTGCCTCCAGGCACTGCGGTTGTGGCAGAGGGCTTGGAAGTTTGAGGGGTCAATGTGACCTTTCTTTAAGTAATGTTTAAGTGTGTCTTTGTACCGTTTTCTCTGTCCCCCCCTTGCACGGGTCCCTTGCTCCAGTTGACCGTAAAGAATCTGCTTGGGGAGCCGATTGTCTGGCATTCGTACACAGTGGCCAGACCAACGTAGCTGACTGCGCATGACGAGGGCCTCAATACTCCAAGAGCCGGCTTCAGCTAGCACGCTGGTGTTGGTGCGATAGTCAGTCCAGGAAATGTTCAGAATACGCCGCAGCGAGCGTTGGTGGAACTGTTCCAAGGTCTTAAGATGCCTTCGGTAGGTGACCCAGGCCTCACAACCATAGAGGAGGGTTGGAAGAATTGCGGCTTTATACACCTGCAGCTTTGTTACCGTCTTAAGGCTTGCATTGTCAAAGACCCGTTCCCTTAAGTTACCATAGGCTGCACAGGCACAACCTAGCCTGTGTGAGATTTCGTCGTCAATGTTTCCCTTGTGGTTAAGAGTGCTGCCAAGATAACTGAAGTGCTTGACACACTCAAGGCGTACTCCATCCAGGTAGAAGCTTACTGCTGGCGGTTGTTGACCCGGAGCTGGCTGGATCATGACTTTGGTCTTTGACTTATTTGTAGTCAAGCCAAGAAGTTTGTATGCAGAATTGAAAAGATCAAGTGTATCTTGTAAATGTTGAGCCTGGTGGGCTACAAGTTTACAGTCATCAGCATACTGAAGGTCGTGGGCAACAACTCTCTGGACTTTGGTGACAGCATTGAGGCGTCTTAGGTTGAAAATACTGCCATCATAGCGGTACCTGATTGTTACTCCAGGTGGAAGACGGTCTTTAATCAGTATCAAGACAGCCAGCAGGTATATGTCAAAGATTGTTGGTGCCAGTATACACCCTTGCTTTACACCAGTTTTGATTGTGAATGATTCAGTCTCAGAGCCATTGCAAAGCACCTTGGCTGTCATTTGGTCATGTAATAGTCGCAGTATTGTTATGAACTTGTCTGGGCAGCCAAACCGCTTCAGTATCTTCCAGAGGGCCTCGCGATTCAGAGAATACAAAAGCCTTAGGTAAGATCGAATAAAGGCCATGAAGAGTGGTTGTCGCTTGTTCTGTACATTTCTCTTGAATCTGCCTAGCTGAGAAGATCATGTCGATAGTTCCTCTGGATGGTCTGAAACCAGACTGGGTTTCAGGCAGAATTTCCTCACTCAGGGGAAGGAGTCGATTCAAGAGCATTCTGGCCAAGATTTTACCAGCCGATGACAGAAGGGCAATCCCACGATAGTTCCCACAATCTGATCTGTCCCCTTTTTTGTAGAGAACAGTTATTACTGCGTTCTTAAGATCGTCTGGTAGAGTTTCCTCATCCCAGATTCGCAAGAGTATGCTGTGAAGTCGTATTGTGAGGTCGGGTCCACCACACTTGTAGACTTCAGCAGGAATGCTGTCGGGCCCACTTGCTTTGTTGTTGCTCATCAAATATAATATCAATACGACACGTCGTTAGGAGAAGTTGTCCTGTCGACAGGAGGACGATGCTGTATTATTTCAGAACAAGGTAGCCGTATTTTTTCATCAATGTCTGCTCTGGGACCCATCTCTTACTGTACTCGATGTTGTAACCGTAACGAGGCATGGCAGCAAACTCTACAAGATAAAACGTTTTGCCAGCGCGTTTTGTCTCTTTGATGACGCGTTGAGGGACATCGCCTGGTTCGTGCTTGAGTGGAATGGACCAGTCTCGATAAAGCGTCCACTCTTCCTCGTCACCGCTGTCGTAGCCGTACTCTTCACTTTCACCAGAGAAAGATGAATTGGAAGACACGGTCGAGCTTGCATCACTCTCAGAACCGCTTTGATCGCTATCGGTTTGTGTCGTTGACTCTGCTTCCCAAGAATCCTTTACAGACTCATCTTCTGAGACGTCTTCTTGTGACAGCATCGAGACCTCCTCCTCGGAAGATTCCAGCGACTCCGTATCATGCTCGGTGGTTGCCTTCTCGGATGAATTGTCGGTGTCGTCAAAGATATCGGCGGATCGGTTTTGTCCTGTCTCGGCGTCCAGGATCTCTTCTCCCGAAGGCATGTCTGTCACGTCTCCGCGTATCGTGTCGCGATGACGGACGAGGTTGGCTTTTCGACTGAACTCTTTGCCACAGATGTCGCACGCGTGAGGCATGGCTGGTGATCTTTGTGAGAATGACGTTGCACGTTCACTGATGGTCTTATATAATAGTTGTAAGTCACTCGTTGGACAGATAATGATATTGCGAGTCACTCATTCTTCAGATAAATAGATATCGCGAGTCACTCAAAGATAGATAAATGAACATATATAAATACAGATAACACATACATACATACATGTATGCTTATTTGACATATGTTTACATGTGTATATACAGACAAAATAGTCGCGCGAGTGACTCATTAATTGCTCGGACGTATACGCAAATAAAAGGAGTCACTCGTGAGTGACTCACTCATTCATTGCTCTGCAGACACACCCACCCAAGTAGCCAGTTAGTATACATTCGTACAGACACACATACATAGACATACAAACAACAGCATAAGGTCTTTGCCTGTGTTCCAACCACCAGGAAGCTTTATTCGTTTTCGATTTTCAATACACAATGGCTGACTGGATAACATCTTTGTCAGTTGGCATCTTTCCGTTCTCCATAGCCTCCAACACCTTGTCCACCGCTTTCATCTTGCTTTCAAGGTCTTCCCATTGCTGAATTGTTAAGTCTATGCCTCTCTTCATTACAGGGTCGGTGTCTGGTGCTCCGTATGGTCTGTAGTGCTGGTGTAGGGTGATGGATGTCTGTCCGTGCAAGATCTGAACTGTCACGTACTTTTCAGATCCCAGGTCATACATTTTCGGCTCAATCACCCCGAAGTAGTAAGGGATGGTATGGCACGTAGCGTCCAGGATCGCCCCCAGTAGCGGAAGTGCTTTCAGCTTGGTCCACTGCTTAGGTGTCAATGCAAGACCTTTCTTCCCGGGTCTCATCTTGTTCACGTCAGCTGGGTCTGGGTGGTAAAACTGCCTCACGTTTATGATCGGTTTATTCCTGAACATCCCCACGGTAAGGAACACATTATCGCCCAATGGTAGACGTACTTCATGCGGCTTCAAGTTGGTGTTCTGACTGAGAGGCGCTCCATCGCTGCCGAGGATGTCCGGGACGATCGAGGGGGTGGCCCCGGCGCTGGCGGTGTTCGGGAGGACCGCTCCGGGCTGGGCGATCTGCTGATGTGCCATGGTTTTCGGTCTCGATCTTCGCTCGCTGTCGACGCCTTTGGACGCAGGTTTGTCTCCGCAAGAAGGACTGGTTTCTCGGCAGTTTCTGCTGCCACTTTATACAAGTTTCTGTCCGACACCCACAGACCTTCCACCAATCACCGTGAAGTACGTCACCTACTTCACATGTAAACCAATCGACTACTCCGGATCCTCAGAGCAAGTCACCAACGCTTGCCATGCGGCCAATCAGCTACTACAGACGTTGACTTTAACCACGCCCCCACTTCATGATGTAATCCCGACGGTCCCGCTGTCATGTTGAATAGCTTACTGTCAAAGTAACAATGTCGGTAGGCGTGGTATCATCCTTCAAAAATCGTTGCCTTGACGACAGGTTTCCCAGGTTACCGGGGTCAAAAGTGCACACTGACCTTTATCTGACCCGCAATTTAGCTCATTAGCTAAAATTTGCATACATTCGCCTACATTTGCACACATCTGCATATCCTTAGCATAATGACGGTGACCTCTGACCCGCACCGCCTCGCACCGCCTCGCACCGCCTGCACCGCCTGAATAAATGATAGCAGCGCGTCGACTATATACTACTCACGTCATATTTCACTTCCTATTGCCTGGCGATCGTTATAAATGAGCAAATAGTTTTTGAAAGTACGAAAATAGATAATAACTTAAGACGTGACACGATTGTTTGGAAAAATCTGTTTTTTATACTCTGGTTATTTCCTCCACCTTAGGAGACCCCGGCTCCAGTAACATCAGTGAGCCATTCCTATTGGTAGCTGACAGGTATGGAGAAATCATTCTCCAAGTTAACATCACTTCCGGATCGACCACCACGCTTCCGCTCGGAGATGTAGGACAGCCCCGAGCCCTGGACCACGACCCGCTCACGGACTACGTGTACTGGTCAGATAACCGGAACAAGAAAATCCACCGGGCTCGTCGTGATGGAAGTGGCAGGGAGACCATCTTAGACATCACCGGTGAGTTTAAAAATATCTATATTATCATGTTTGATGGCAATTAGAAGAACAACTATTGACAAAACGCAACACTATATGATAATGTATGGTCTTACAAAGAAGATCAGAATAGTCCTCAAGCAGATGTAAGGACCCGGCTAATTTTCTCATTGTCTGGGTTCACGTTATTTAACAAACACACACACACTTTCACACACACACACAACAAACACACACACACTTTCACACACACACACACACACACACTCACACACANTCCCAGGTTACCGGGGTCAAAAGTGCACACTGACCTTTATCTGACCCGCAATTTAGCTCATTAGCTAAAATTTGCATACATTCGCCTACATTTGCACACATCTGCATATCCTTAGCATAATGACGGTGACCTCTGACCCGCACCGCCTCGCACCGCCTCGCACCGCCTGCACCGCCTGAATAAATGATAGCAGCGCGTCGACTATATACTACTCACGTCATATTTCACTTCCTATTGCCTGGCGATCGTTATAAATGAGCAAATAGTTTTTGAAAGTACGAAAATAGATAATAACTTAAGACGTGACACGATTGTTTGGAAAAATCTGTTTTTTATACTCTGGTTATTTCCTCCACCTTAGGAGACCCCGGCTCCAGTAACATCAGTGAGCCATTCCTATTGGTAGCTGACAGGTATGGAGAAATCATTCTCCAAGTTAACATCACTTCCGGATCGACCACCACGCTTCCGCTCGGAGATGTAGGACAGCCCCGAGCCCTGGACCACGACCCGCTCACGGACTACGTGTACTGGTCAGATAACCGGAACAAGAAAATCCACCGGGCTCGTCGTGATGGAAGTGGCAGGGAGACCATCTTAGACATCACCGGTGAGTTAAATATCATATTATCATGTTTTGATGGCAATTGAAGACAACTATTGCAAAACGCAACACTATATGATAATGTATGGTCTTACAAAGAAGATCAGAATAGTCCTCAAGCAGATGTAAGGACCCGGCTAATTTTCTCATTGTCTGGGTTCACGTTATTTAACAAACACACACACACTTTCACACACACACACAAACAAACACACACACACTTTCACACACACACACACACACACACTCACACACACACACACACACACAACAAACACACACATTCACACACACACACACACACACACACACACACACACACACACACACACTTTCACACACACTTTCACACACACACTCTCACACACACACACACTTTCACACACTTTGTCGTTCATCTGTCTGCATGACGAGGACCGCATACGGAGCGCCGACGGGGTCAAAAGGCGCGTAGAGATAAAACGTCGCGCGCAGAGATAAACGTCACGCGCGGAGAAGAAAAAGAGGGAGAGAGAAACGTGTTGAAAAATGTGTCTTAGATCACAATTTTTTCTTAGAAATAGTGTTAATGGCGAGTGCTTCTAATTGTAGCAATTATTCCTATCCATTAACACTATCAGAGGAGACTTGACTTTAGAATCTCGGAACCACGTTTGAAATTGTGCACTGCCTCATTCGTCCCACACATACACGGTTATTATTTACATTTTACACCACTATTCTAAACCTGACCAAATAAATATGAGACACGCTGTTCGAATTCCTGCACCAGACGAATGAGATATGCGTGCCCTTTTATATAGGCATACCAGAGAAATACAGTTTTTCCCAACCTTTCTTCAACCTTGAAAGATTACAAATACTGTTCGTTCCTTGCCTCTTTTCAACAGTTTGAAGTTAGAATTTGAAGGTCGGGAAAAGTCACACTGTTTGCAACATATTTTAGATTGTCAAAATTGTCCTTCAATAAAAGTTGGTCTATGAAACTATTCATAATTTACTCCGTCTTTCTTTCCTTTCTCTCGCCAAATTTACTACCGGTATACCCCCCGTCTTTCTTTCCTATGTCCTGACATTTTCTATCCTCCATTTTCCTTTCCACTCACCTGACATATTTCCTATGTATGTATATCAAAATCTTTTGGACGTGTGCATTTTCAAACATATTTTTCTACAAAACGTCCACACTTTTTTGGCGACGCCTTTGGGGCGGAGGCATTTGTGTAAGTACTACGATCGCTTTGAAAGAATTTCAAAAATTGCACGAATGCGTTCCCCAGGGAATTGGTTTGGAGGAAACCTTCCACCATGTGGTTTCTGGATCAAGCAGGTAACTTACACGGGTGCCCACGTGCCACCCATCCAGATGCCTGGCATGATTAATTACTGGTCATCAGTCTTCTCCCCCACACGATGGACAGAGAGCACAGTTGTCTTTGGCCAAAGACCATATTCAAACAGGTCACAGAGAGAAAAGAAATTATCCGTCCTTTTGGAACCCACAAAAGGTAAAAAAAAGTCAAAGGAGTAACAACTTCAGACCATACATAAAATCCAGTCTCTGGTGGAGGATAGAATGAAGTGGAGGATGGTTTTCAGTTTGGTTCTAGCGGGAACTCGACCAAAGTAAAGTAAGTAAGTATGTCATCATAAAATCTATATTGCTGGGGAAGAATGGCTGATTCCTCCTATACGTGTATTTGGTATATTGCCCCACACCTCCTCCACCCAGCCTGTAAATTTCACTACGTGCATGTCTTTATAACATAGGGAAATATGTTTTTCTGATAATTGTAATGTAGATTGCTAGCTCCACCACATGAAATAATATATATCATTCAGTCGTCGCCTTGGCAATGATTTTTATTGCCTCAGCCTTGTTTACACTTTTTTTATGCAGATGTCCCTGGCCTGGCGTTGGACCACGCTAGAGGGGATATCTACTGGACTGATTTTGGTGAAAAGACCATCTCTGTAGCAAAGACGGATGGATCGTCAACTAGAACACTTCTGACGTCACCAGCCGTCAGCCTTCCTTATGACCCGGTCCTGGACCCCAGGAATGGGTGAGTAAAATACATTCAAAATCAGGCATTTTACATAAATGGGCACAGGGCTGTGTACGTTAACGTTTGTAAACTCGATGCATTTCAACCAGTCCATCGTTTTAAATACGTCATAGTGCAAACTTTCATTAACATCCTACTGGTAACTAGACTTCTACGATCTCATACATTCGCCAAATGAGGTTAATTTTTATGACTGATAAAGATTATTCCTCCTGATTATGCAAATAGGCTCCTCATTTGCATGAATTATATCAGTTGATCATATTCTCCACCAAAAGACAGCCTTAGCAAAGAAATCCATTCTATTATTTCGTCATAAATTATGCAAATGAGGTCCTTATTTGAATCAGTTAATGATGTTCACCTTCTCTTAACTTTCAAATACCCAAAGTATGAAATTCCAGGCAGTTACCATTATTCTAACATTTCCTCAATAATTATGCAAAATACGTGTTTATTTCATAATAGATATATCTGCCTGTGTTTCACTCATTCTCAATTACATATGTCACAAGCTTGAATAGTTCTTTAATGTAATGCAATATAGAATTTCCTCATACATTATGCAAATAATATCCAGATTTGCATAATTGTCGCATACCTATGTCAAGCATTACTTAAGCTACCTACATACCAAAAGTCACGACGATCTTTAACCAGTTCTTGAGTTATCCTCCGTAGATTTTTCAACAAATGCTCCGGAAGTTCTGCTGCAGTACCAACAAAAGCCGCCAAGGGGCCCAAAATCTAAACATTTTTAGATCTCATTGAGACGTACTAACATACTAAGTTACATGACAATGCATATAAAGCTTTTTGAGTAATGCTGTTCACAAACAAACAGACAAACAGGCGAACAATCCCTACTGAAAACATAACCTTCTTGGCGAAGGTAATAAAGTATTTTTAAAGAACCACCCTTGCAGTTCCTGAGCAAGCCACTAGGTGGCCCAAACCTACGTCACTTCTTCTCCAGCACAATTCCTACCTACCATTAAAATTTCGTGACCCTATAGCTATCACCACCAGATCATGAGATATCAAAACCGGAAGTTCCGCTGCAGTGCCACAACAAGACGCTAGGGGCCCAAAAATGAATCATTCCGATGTCTCATCAAGACCTAACCGCCTACCAAATATGAAGACAATGTATTTAAGCATTCTCGAGTTATTGTTTACAGACACACACACACGAACGCCTGAAAACAACCTTCTTGGCGAGGGTAATAAAACTTGATCTGGTGTTCCGGACTCCTGGAATATTGTTTATTGTTTATTGTCATTTTGCACATAAAAAAGTAACAGTATAAAATGAAATTATATACAAGCAAATATATGCTGGAGAGCCCAAGAAACCGGAAGGTTTGTCTAGTGGACTCTCCCAAATTCTATTAATTTTACGATCTCTTATTTACATACATGTATTACATTTACATTTAACTTGCAATGTATCAAGGGACAAGCAAACAAATTAACTCAAAATAGGTACAAGATAATATAAAGTTAACACGGCGCATAATATATCTAAACAATAAAGTAAGACAATCAAGAACATATCATATTGAACAAAAAAATAAATTTCCATTAGTCAAATCATACGTTATTATGAGTAAGAACAACATAAGAAACCAATATTTACACAAAGAAAATATCATAGCATGAGAAAACACGGAAAACAAAAACAAATCAGGAAGTGGTAGTTGGCTTCTCTATCAGGTCAGTTTTTAAATGTCTTTTGAAAGTTGGAAGGGATTGACAATTTTGCTGTGAGTGACTTAAACTGTTCCAAATTAAGGGGCCTCCAAACATTATCGTGAACTGTTTCATATTTGATTTTTTCAGGATTGGCCTTAAATAATGTTGCTTTCTAGTACTGTAACTGTGGATATCTGAGTTGTATTGAAATATATCCCGGAATTGAACTGGTTATTGTGAACTTTTTTTGTAAAACTTTGTGAACAAAAATTGCTGTTTGGAGTTTATTTATGTCATACACTGTTAAAATTTTCAAGTCTTAAAATAGAGCCGTAGTGTTAGCAAAAAAAATGGGACATTACATGCAATCAGATATCAAAACCGGAAGTTCCGCTGCAGTACCACAACAAGCCGCCAAGGGCCCAAAAACTAATCATATCGAGGTCTCATCAAGACCTACCCGCCTACCAAATATGAAGACAATACATTTAAGCCTTCTCGAGTTATTGTTTACAGACACACACACACACACACACACACACACACACACACACACACAAACGCCTAAAAACATAACCTTCTTGGCGAGGGTAATAAAACTTGATCTGGTGTTCCGGACTCCTGGAATATCATGTTACTGTTTTTTTGTGACCTCTTATTTTGCCATATGTGTGTGTGCTTTAGGCAGAAACCATCCATGTGAAAGGATTATGTAGATTATATTATCATTATGAATAATCTATATCATTTATGGTAATAACAATAATCTAATAACGCTGTACAAGGAAACACCATTTAATAACATGTATGAAAATTTGGCGGAGATAAGAGGTTCTGTTTCCTTGACTCCTTTCACAGACTCATGTACTGGGCGGACGATGGTAATGACAGAATTGCCCGTGCTGCGATGGACGGCAGTAACCCAACCGCCATCATCACGGGCGTGTCTAGACCCCGCGCCGTTACAATAGACTTTAGAGGTAAGAAACAACATAGAAAGAAACAATTTACTAAATATATTTATTTATTTATACACAAAAGAATTATTAACCAAGAAGGAACATTTTAAAACGCGTTCTTTAGTAGGTCGGTGTTACCTTATTGTATTGTATGAGGACAGGAGTGGTTTAAATAAATATGTACTACGTGTAAGTAAGGACGTTCAATCATGATTGAATGTCCTTGCAATTGGTGTAAGATATTGTCTATGTGCACGTCTACCCTCTCTGTAGTGTTACTCAATGATGTACTCTTTGAACTCGACAGTGGACTTGGACAGAGACCTTGAGTTGCCGTTTTAGATGCTTTAATCCGGAAGGGTTAGTAACGGTACAAACGTGGACGTGCTCAGTCTGGAGTCCAGGCAGAAAGAGAAGGAACTAGAGTCTGGGGTTACTCTACTAGACTGAGATACTTAATATTCAGATATGGACTAGTCTATCACAGAGAGTTAGAGGGGTGTCGTCTAACTTTGCTTAATATCACAACATCCCCCTTTGTTTAAAAGGTTAATTGTTTGGCATGCATTACCTCTATTCACTGCATTCTAGTGTCTCGCATGCATTACTGCTACTTGCTGCTTTGCTAACTTCTTCAAGTCCATAATCGTAGTCCAGAATCACAGTCCATTTTCCGGTTTGTACTGTCAACTTTAAATCTTACAAGTCCAATTTCACGGGTGGCTTCACAGCTCTTCCAGATCGAGTGATGTACGGTTGTGCTGCGGTGTCATTCAGGACTGGTGTCGGAGACTCGTCGACCGCGGACTTGTCGCTGGTGTCAACGCTGGATTCTTTTATCTTCTGAAGATGCTTTATGTTTCTCCGATATTGCACACCGTCTGGCGTTTCTACTAGCCATGATCTGGGTTGTTCTGTCTGCTGGATAACCGTAGCAGGTGTCCACTTCTTGTTTTGCTGCTGTATCCTTATTTCTTCTCCAGGTGATATCGGTGGGAGAGGACGGCTGGACTTGTCGTACTGCGTCTTCTGACGCTGCTGCTTCTGCTCTAGCTGTCGTCGCACGTTTTCGTGGTTGACAATCTTTGGCGTCAGCTGTTCGTTTGTCGTCGGCAGGCGCGTGCGCAATCTTCGACTCATCAGGAGTTGTGCCGGCGACGGTAGTGTGTTGTGTACTGGAGTGTTCCTGTACTCCAGCAGTGCGAGGAACGGGTCTTTGTTATCCGCTCTCGCCTTCTGTAACAGGCGTTTCATGGTCTGCACAGCTCTCTCAGCCAGTCCGTTTGACTGAGGATAGTGTGGGCTTGACGTGGTGTGTGTGAACGACCACGTTTGCGCGAATCTTGCAAACTCTTCACTCGCATACTGCGGTCCGTTGTCACTGATGACTTCCTCCGGGATTCCGTGCGTTGCGAATGTTTTCTTCAGCTTTACTATCACGTCTGTGGATCGGGTGCGCTCCAGTTTGTGAAACTCTATGTACTTGCTGTAGTAGTCCACAATCAGTATGAAGTCTTTCCCGTCCCAGTGAAACAGATCTGTTGCAACTTTCTGCCACGGTCTCTGCGGGACCGGATGTGGCGTCATTGGCTCTTTCACGTTGGAGGATCGATGTTCCTGGCATACTGCACATCTCTGGATCCTCTCGTCAATCTGGGCGTTTAGGCCTGGCCAGAACAGAATGTCTCGGGCTCTTGCCTTTGTCTTTTCTTGACCCAGATGACCTTCATGCAGGATGTCTAGCATCTCTTTTCGCATTGACCTTGGAACCAAGATCTTCTGCCCTTTGAAGATCACGTCATCATGGACGGTCAGCTCGTCCCGGTGGTTCCAGTATTCTGCGATTTGCGGGTCACACTTGTCTTTCGTGTCGGGCCATCCTTCTTTGATGGTGCCTTTGAGAGTGACTAATTGTGAGTCTTCTCTTGTTTCTCGGCGGACTTCTTTCATCCTCCGTGAGGACACAGGCAGGTTGCTTGTCACCACGTGCACCTTCTTGCATCAGGACAGCTCCTAGTCCGTACTTGGACGCATCTACTTGCAGGGTTGCTTCTTTGTGTGGGTCGTAATACGACAACGTGGAGGCTTCGGCTACGACTTTCTTCATGTCGGCGAACGCGTGTTTCCTCTTGTCGTCCCACACAAACTCTATGTCTTCTCTGAGAAGCTCTCGCAGCGGTGCTGTAACCTCTGACAGGTTAGGGGTAAACTTTGCGAGATAGTTGACCATCCCTAGCATCGTCATCACCTCTGCCTTGTTGGAGGGTGCCTTCATGCTGGTAATGGCTCTAACTTTCGTTCGGGTCTGGCTTCAACCCGTCCTTCGTGAGGATATGTCCGAAGTAGCCTACTTCTGGAGCAGCTACGACGACTTTCTCAGGGTTCAGTTTGACGCACTTGTCACGAGCTCTCTGGAGCATGGCTCTGAACCGAGAGTTGTGTTCCTCTTCTGTCCGACCGTGGACAAGGATGTCATCTACAATGACTTCTACTCCTTCCAGCTCCTGGAATATCTTGTCCATCTGTTTCTGGAATACTTCTTGCGCGGAATGGATCCCGAACGGTAACCGTGTAAAACAGTAACGGCCGTACACGGTGTTTAATGTTGTCAGCTTGGAACTCTCTTCGTCCAACTTGACTTGCCAGTATCCAGACCGTGCATCTACTACCGAGAAGTACTTTGATCCGGCCAGCCTGGTCGTGATGTCTTCTAGTGTCGGTAGTTGATAGTGTTCACGTTTTATTGCCTTATTCAGGTCTCGTGGATCCAAACACACCCTCAGTTTGCCGGTGCGTGGCTTCTCGACCACTACAAGGGAGTTTACCCAGTCCGTCGGTTCGTCCACTTTCCTTATCACTCCGAGTCGTTCCATTCTGTCGAGCTCTGCCTTGAGCGGATCCCTCAGTGATACAGGAATTCTTCTTGGCGGGTGGACCTTTGGCGGTACACTGTGGTCGAGCTGGATCGTGTGTTCGCCTGGAAGCTGCCCGATTCCCTCGAAGACGTCTTTGTACTCTTCTAGAATGCTCTGGGCTGTCTGTGTCTCTTGCACTGTCAACACTAGCTTTATGAGTTGAAGGGACAGACACGCTTTAAGGCTTAGTACTGGCGCTGCGTCGGCTCTCACGATGTAGAACTCCAAGACGCCAGATTTTCCTTTGTAACCGCACGTGAGACGGCACTTCCCTCTCACCTCTAAGGGAACGTTACCATAGCCATAGAGACGAGTCGTCGCTGGCATCACACGCTTGTGTTTCAACTGTTGCCATACTTTCTCTGGCAACACGTTTACTTGGGCTCCGGTGTCTAACTTGCACCTGAGACTTCTGCTCATCTCCTCGACATGGAGATCTACGAAGACCTGGTCACCTACTGTGCGCGTCTTGCTCACCGTTTCGATGTGGAACTCTTCTAGGTTCTCACTTACGGTCCTGACTTCTTGCACTGTAGGCTTCTTCGACCTGCAAACTGCTGCGAAGTGGTTCCTCTTGCCGCACTTTCTACAGCTTTGCCCGTTTGCTGGACAGGTTTCCGATGACATGTGGCTCCTGCCACATTTGTCACATGCCCTACTTCCCTGAGTGGCTTGGTATGTCCTGGTCCGTGGAGTCGTACCCTTTCTCTTGGGGTCTCCTTTCCGTGACCTCGGATTCTTCCTAACCATATGCACTGCGGTTTGCTCCATCGTTTGGATGCTCTGTTTTGATACTTCCGCAGCTCGGCAGATAGCTTCGCACTTTGCAAGACTAAGGTTACTCTCCCTCAGCAGTCGCTCGCGAACTTTGCCGTCCAGAATACCACATAGTATCCTGTCTCTGATCAGGGACTCTCTTATATCCCCAAAACCACATTCTGAAGCTAGGGTTCTCAGATCTGTGACATATTCATCAAATGTTTCTCCACTACTCTGTCCTCTGGTGAAGAATTTGTACCTTTCGACAGTCTCATTCTTCTTCGGGTTGCAGTATGACTCGAACGCAGCCACAATCTGCTCTGCTGTTCGGTCTTTCTCTGCAATTGGCGCATTCTCAGCATTCACAAATGTCAAGGTGCCATACACTTTCCGTGCATTTTCACCCATTAAGTATAGAAGGGTCTTTCTTCTCTTAGCAGCATCGTCTTCCACTGCTAGATCAATATATAATTGTATTTCTTCTTCCATCTTTTCCACGTTAGGCTTAGGTTTACTGGAATTTACATCGAGCGGCCCTGGTGCCCTCAAACTGTGACCTTCCGCCATCTTTTAGGCTTGTTTTCAACTTGTCAAACTTTTACAAAGCTGCAGCTGCTTGAGCTTGCCTGAGCTTGTTTTTCCAATTATCACACTTGTCTAGAGTTCAGAGTTCAGGGTTAGCAAGGCTCAGATGTAGACGCTCTGTCTGGAATGCCTGCACGTCTGACCTGCCACTTCCTGGCTGTTTGACGGCTACCGCCTGCTTCAGGCTATAGGGAATATAGGAATTCTCCTACCTCGTGGCATGCTGTCTTCAAAACTGCACTTTTGTCTTGAGAACTGGCCTTTTCCTCCTTCTTGAGGGTTGAAAGCCAAGGTTCTTGAACTTCTGACACCATGATGTACTCTTTGAACTCGACAGTGGACTTGGACAGAGACCTTGAGTTGCCGTTTTAGATGCTTTAATCCGGAAGGGTTAGTAACGGTACAAAAGTGGACGTGCTCAGTCTGGAGTCCAGGCAGAAAGAGAAGGAACTAGAGTCTGGGGTTACTCTACTAGACTGAGATACTTAATATTCAGATATGGACTAGTCTATCACAGAGAGTTAGAGGGGTACGCGGGTGTCGTCTAACTTTGCTTAATATCACAACACTCAACAGTTGCAGTATTCACATTGATGGGTGCATAAATCCTTCGTTTATTTCTCTCATTTAGAGGACCGGCTGTACTACTCTGATGGGCCCCGCATAAACAGCTCAGACCTGCTGGGTAACGATATACAACAACTGCTGTATGAAGACGGGAAGTGGGTGCGGGGGATTGCTGTTGACGAGAACTACGTCTACTGGTCGTCTCAATGGCGTGATTCATCATACCAAGGGAAAGTCGGAATGTAAGAAAATCCAATCTATCTGGTAAAGACTAATGTAGAAATCTCCCTGCTGATGTCATCTTATTTGGTCCATGTTGTATTGAGTTACATGATTTATTTTGTAAACATAACTTATCTTTGTTTAGTAGGAGGTGGATTATATTTAGGTTACCTTCAAGTTGGTTTTGTACCGACTTAGGATAAGTATTAACCCCGGATTTAGTCCCCGGCTCCATTGACCAATAACAGCGATCGTTTCGCGGCGGTGTTCTGTAATAGCGCCCCAGGGCTTCCACGCCCGACCTCAGTATGCACAAATAATCCCGTCGTCCTTTGTGTGATAGTTATTCCGGTAAACTAACTTGAAAATAACACTTGGTACGGAATCCCCACACCTGATGTGCGTTACCATTTGGGGTACATTATATCGTCCGGAAGCTATTGAAAACAGACCTTTTGCTTCATATTTTGATCACAGTTTAGTAACATGAACGGATGCTCACAAAAGATGTGTTTCACTGCATGTACGTTTAAGAGGTTTTCTACTTTTATTGTTTGTTTTTGGCGACGCCTCAGGGACGGAGGCATTTGTGTACTAAGATCGCTTTAAAAGGATGTCAAAATTGCACGAATGTATTTCCAAGTGTAGCCTTCGGCCATGTGGTCTTTGTACCGAGAAGTAAACGCCTTTGTTTTATTTGCATATAAAAGGCCCCATTCGGGTCTAACTACTCGTTTTACATAAACAATAGTCGTCTTATGTAACTGTTCATGATGTTTAAAAACATGTTTTTTTATCAACAGAAAAAAGTACATTCTTTTAGTTCCGGCATAAGAAAAAGAAAACTAGTAGCAATATAGCAAAGCTATTTCCTGTTTCCTTAGGTGGTATGGATCAGACGTAAAAGTGAGCAAACGTCATACGAAGTGATGGTTTCATCATCTTCTATTTAAATTTTGATTTTGTTGACAAAATCAGGACTATTCTGTACATGATGCTGAGATTTCCCCACTAGTGGTCCCAAAATCTTGGCTAGAAAGCCTGCTAACTCATAGGTGACAGAGCCTATACCGGAGACTATGGGTCGTAGGGGGACACTTCGTTTGTGGATTTTGGGAAGGCCGTAGAAAGCAGGGGGTTGTTCCGTTGTGGGATTGAGTTTTAGGTAGGTGGCGGGATCCAGAAGTCCTTCAGTTTGCAATTTTTTTCCATTGAGAGATGTACTGATTTTTCCCTTAAACTTGTTAGTGGGGTCCTTTTTCAAGGGCATTTAGGTGTCTTTGCCTCCCCATAGGTCCAAAACCTTCCTGTCGCACTGCTCCCTGTCTAAGACTACTGTACATCTGCCCTTGTCTGCAGGAAGAGTCAATATGTCTTGATTGGTGGCCAAATATTTAAGAGCGGCCCGTTCCTTCCGTGTGATGTTACTAGCAGGGGGTTTGGAGACTTTCGGGCGGTAGCTACTTTGGTGCGCAAGGCTTCAGCTTGTCTCTGTGGTAAACGTGCCCGAATTGCTGTTTATCCATGTGACCCTTCCCTCCTGGTCCAATACTGTACTACAGTAGTGTATGTAGGGTAAGAATAAGCTAGTGTATATAGCTTACAATGCTTGTCTATTTAGGAACGGCTTCGTGCTTATTGACTCGTTGAAAAGCTTGGTTAGTCGGGTTCCAAGGATATGTGCACCCACTTTTAGGAGCCTATTGTCCACATTATCGAGTCCAGTGGCTTTCCTTACTTTGAGAATTTGGTCAACTGGTTTATAACAAATTCTTCCGTAATTGGTGTAAAGACAAGTGTTCTTGTGGATTTGTTAACGAACTGGAAAACTGGACAGAACTGAATGAATGCTTTATTTTCTTGGTGCAAGCTACAAGACGTGACAAATATGCGGCTGGTTTGAATCCTTGAATTTTTGAAATGCTAATCAGGTGAAAACAGGCATTCATGGAAACACCTGTTACGAGATGCTGCTTCTTGGCTTCTGATTGGCCTCAAACCCAGCCATCGCATGTTTGTCACAGCCGTATACAGTAAAATTTGATTAGTTGTACTGAGTGTTATGTTCACATTAAGTTGTTTCTTTTTTATATGTACCTTGAGTTGCACCAAACTTGTGATTATGTTATGCTACTTGAGTTCATTTAAGTTGGAATGTTCTTTTTTGTGGAATGATTAGTGTGATACTGATGATGGATGGAGCAAATGAGAATAAGTAAGGGCCTCTCATTTATAAGAACTTATACGAGCTTAGACCTTTGTTTACGTTAAGTTACTTGTACTTTACTTTGGCTTTAAGCAAGAAATGTTCTGTTATCTATCTTTTCTTTTCATTCATGGCTCGAAGTATCTCGTCATTTCATGTTCTAAGCTTGATGTTTATCTTTATGTGTATGGCATGATGTTTTTCGTATCGTTAAGTTCTAAGCTGGATATGATTATTTGGATATTCTCTTTGTTGTTATTAATCATGAGGAACCCTTATTATGTTATTACTAATATGAACCACTATTCCTTTATTGTCTATATTACCTTCTGCGGTCGTCTTCCCCTATTTGAAATCTTTAGAAACCCCTTTTCTTCCCTTGGCATTTATGACATCACCAAAAGTTAATATTTGTAGCTTTAATTGTAATGGGTTGGGCGACCGCAGAAAACGAAACGAAATATTTACATGGCTAAAGGACAAATCATATAACATTTTTTGTTTACAAGAAACCCACTCTACGGTGAAACAAGAAGAGCTCTGGCAATCAGAATGGGGGGGGGGTCCTGTTTTATATAATCACGGTCTTAGTAACAGTAAAGGAGTTTTAATCTTATTTAAGAATATTTTTTCATACACCATCCATCAGACCCTGAGCGATAACTCAGGGCGGTGGTTGGTTTTAGATATCACCATAGATTCTATACGCTTTTGTTTGGCCAATATTTACGCCCCCAACACCTATGACCCAGACTTCTTCTTTAACCTTGAGACGACCATACAAAACTATATAGCATCTGATTTACATACTATTATTGTTGGGGATTTCAATACTGTGCTGAACATCGATATAGACAGAGCTGGGAATCAAGCATCTAATTATCACCCAAACTGTTTAAGAGCTATTAATTCCTTATGTGCCAACTTAGATTTACTTGATATTTACAGATATAAGAACCCCAAAATAATACGTTATACATGGAGACGCAAACGCCAGGCTAGCCGAATAGATTATTTTTGACATCCTTTTCCTTAACCTCTGCCATAGAGAAAGTTGTTATAGAAAGTAGCTTGAGATCAGATCACTCCCTTATTGGATTAACAGTTACTACCTCCATAATACCGCGAGGCCGTGGATTTTGGAGGTTAAACCAAGATTTGTTAAGTGATCGGACATTTGTAAAAGAGACCTTGGAGTTTATTACTAATTTCTTTCAATTTAATGTTGATTCAGCTAATCCACATATTGTGTGGGAGGCCTTCAAATGCTCAGTTCGAGGCCATATAATCAAATTTGTATCATGGAAAGCCAAACAAGTTAAAGATAATGAACTCTCCCTTTCAGGTGAGATCGACAGATTGCAAAAACAGCTTGATACTTTTTTTGATATGGACACTTTCCAACGTTACAAAATAAGAAACTGCAGCTAGAATTGCTCTACCAAACCAAATGTAGTAATATGATTAGTGGAAGGAGAGCCAAGTGGATGGAGCAGGGTGAAAAATGTACAAAACTTTTTTTTAAATCTTATAAACAGAGGAACAGCAAGGAAAACATGACTAAATTTGTTACACCTGAGGGATCAGTCAAAACTGACCCCCAGGAAATTCTTCTTGACCAAGTCAAATTCTTTTCCAATCTCTATTCCTTCAAAGAACCGCCTATCTCTTTGGAGAGTGATATTTTTGAACCCTTTTTCCCTAACGTTCCCCATGTTTCACTGTCCGCTGATCAACGGGACTTCTGTGAAGGTCTTATTACCGAGAAGGAGCTGAAAGTTGCTATTGACTCATTTTCATCGGGGAGAGCGCCTGGCTTAGATGGTCTTCCAGTAGATTTTTACAAGAATTTCTTTAATTACATAAAAAAGCCTATGCTTGATTCCTTTAACTATTCGTACCGAATGGGTCACTTATCCGATACACAAAAAACTGGTCTTATTTCCCTGATACTAAAGCAAGACTCCACGGGACAAGATAAAGACCCTTCTCAGATTAAAAATTGTCGGCCCTTAACACTATTAAATTGTGACGTCCGTATATTATCTAAATGCATAGCCCTGCGTATGAAAAAATAATTCCAAATCTAATATCTTATGATCAAACAGGTTTCCTAGCAGGGCGGTGCATTAGTGATAATATACGCAGAATCTTAGAAATAATAAGATATTATGAATGTAACGAACTACCTGGATTAATTTTTGTGGCAGATTTTGAAAAAGCTTTCGATACCATCAGACTTGATTTTATTATTAAAACACTCGAATATTTTGGTTTTGGTGGGGGTTTTCTAAATTGGATAAGAGTTTTATATAAAGATATCTGTAGTAAAGTAATTAATTATGGACATATCTCCCACTCCTTTTCCCTGTCCCGGGGAGTCCGTCAGGGATGTCCTCTTTCGCCATACTTGTTTATATTAGGGGTTGAAATGTTAGCTATGAAGATAAGAAACAATATGGAAATAAAAGGATTAAGTACTTATGGGATAGAAACAAAAATTTCTCAATATGCAGACGACTCTTACTTTCCTTTAGCTCCGAAACTTGGTACTCTTTACGCTTTAGTTAAAGATTTGGAAGATTTTGCATTGTTATCAGGGTTAACACCTAATTTTGACAAATGTGTAATAAGACGTATCAGTTCTTTAAAGGGCACTGACTTTTATTTACCTTGTCCCTTACTGATTCAATGGACTGATGGACCGATAGATCTCTTGGGAATTCATATTCCGCAGCAAATATCAGATTTGATAAATGTAAATTTGATAGGAAATTCGCAAAGATACATAAATTATTATATCCTTGGAAGACAAAGTCATTAACTCTTATGGGTAAAGTTACTCTTATCAATACACTTATAGTATCACAATTTGTATTTTTACTTACCTCTCTCACGTCCCCTCCCTCTGAGTTTTTTGATAAATATGAGAAGAAAATTTCTATATTTTCAATTTCTATGGGGGGGTGGGCCTGAGCGAGTTAAGAGAAAAACTATATATAGTGCTTACGAATATGGAGGACTTAAACTTAGGAATTTGCGATCTGTCGACCTCACCCTTAAGGCCTCTTGGATGCCTAAATTATACATGAACAAAGAATGGTTTTGCTCTAAGTTGTTATTTTTTTCTTGTCCATTATTCAGAACAAACTTATTCCCCTTTGTACAACTTGCTGTCAATAATTTTGATTGTTTTATGGGAAAGAAAGCACCAATAAATTCCTTTTTAGACAAATTATCCAAGCTTGGCTACGCTTTCAACTCAGACCACCTGAGGAAGTGGACGAAATCAAGCAACAATTACTTTGTTTGAACTCAAATATACGTATCGGTGATAAACCTTTCTTTTCGATAGCATTTGACAATGGGGGAGTTCGTTTTCTTAATGGCATCTTGGATTCAGAAAACAGATTTTTTTCTTACTAGACTTTTATAACAATATTTGGGGATGTCTGCCCGGAATTCCAGTATAATCAATTAGTTTCTGCGATCCCATTACATTGGAAAGAGGCCCTTAGACAGGAATCTAATGCTATACAGGTGTGTGTGCAGATTTGTAGAGATAGAACTTGGCTTTGGAAAAAAAAATTAATAAATATTTGTATACTTTTTTCATGGAAGAGTGCAAGCTAAGGGAACTGTCTTATAAAACACAACACTCCTGGGAAGAATATTTTAACACACCCATCCGCTGGAAACAGGTTTACAGCTTAATTTATAAACTTTCTATAGACACCCATACCAGAATGTTTCAATATAAGATACTCTTCAAATTTTTGACATCAAATAGAACACTATATACATGGAAATTAGTAGACTCCCCTATGTGTTATCTCTGTAATAAAGAGGAAGAGTCAGTCATTCATTTGTTTTGGAATTGTCGTGTAGTTGTTAATTTCTGGTCTGAGGTGAATGACTGGCTTGTCAAACATACCAATAATCAACTACATTTGAATGCTTTTAACGTTATATTTGGTGACTTGAGCGATCGATGCCCAGCCCTGTCTATAATCTCATTATCCTTTTAGGTAAACATTACATATTTAAATATCGCCAGAAAAGGTTAGACTTACACGGTTTCATTTCTTACATTTCTTACTTTCAAAAATTGGAATACATAATTGCAAAAAGACAAGATAAGATTCAGAAACATATTGGGAAGTGGGGTAAACTTTATAGTGTCCTTTCAACTTAGTTTCGTTAATAGTTTGTGATTTCTAGGGTTCCTCATCACTTATATTATGTTCTTTTAATGATCATACACCATTGTCTCCTGATTTTGTGTTTTACTTTTGTGGTTTACACATGTGTTTCCTTATTTTGTATACATGCCATACTTTCTGTCCAATATATATGTGAAAATATCAATAAAAAGAAAGAGTTTAAAAAAAAAACGAACTGGAAAGCGGTAAGGTGGGGAACATTTGAAATAGAGTTATACAAATCACCCACAACTTTGTGAAAGAAGACATTAAGGTAATCCACTATTACTTAAGTGGCTGTGATATTCTGGCCATTATGTATAATACAGATTCTGGTGTCTTCTTTGGTAATAAATTACGAATGGCTTTCCACATTCCCGCCTATCCCTCTTCTGATCCTTTGATAATTGAGTGTACAGCATGATCTCTTTTGGCCTTCCGGCACAAGTACTTTACTTGGTTTTCCATTGCCTTATATTCCGCCATGTCGGTTGCGTTACCTGGGCTTTTGGCCTTTTTATACAAATGCTTTTAATTGGCGCATGCACATTCGCGACACTGGTGACAAGGTCTATCCATGCTGTAGCATGCTCCAGCTGTACGTCAACAGTTGAGAAGTTGTCTAGTATGTGCCATGGCACCTGGGTCAGATCATGAAGGAATTTCTCCTCACTAAATTTCCTGTAGTTCCTTGTATCGTTGAAGGCACTCATTTGTCACGTATAGATACAGTTACTAGTAGATTCTTTCATCAGTGACAAGTTATTTGAAGGGTGAGAGTACTAACCTCCAAATTTTCGATGGCTATCAGTCCAACTTGTTCACGGAATAATCTCGCGAGAGCGCGAGACTAGGCCCGAGACTTGTAGTCCCTTCTATTAATTACAGTAGTTTGTGTCCTATGACTTTAGCCCTGTGATAAGCAAATGTCATTGCATGATCACTGAACCCCCCTCCATATGTTACTTGGTTATGAAGGTTGGATTGCTCATTCGTTAAGATTACATCTATAGAAGAGCTGGATGTGTCAGTGATTCGTGTCGATGTAGTGATGATGTTTACAAGTTGGTGTAGCATACGTGAAAATCTCAGCTTACCAATTGGACCGGCATTGTCTGTTCTAAGACAGTCACAATTTAGGATACCCATTATAATGGTCTTCTTATGCTCATCATTGACAGTGTTCATACAATCATCAAATTTATCTAGGAAGTCGACGTTGTCGGCTGGGGTCGATACATGCTACAGACTAAGATGTTTTAACGAGAAGGTGGCATAATTTCTGCCCATACGGCTTCAAGGCCGGGAATTTCTAGGTCTGGTCGAGCTTTGAATGGTTATTGTTGAGAAATATAAAGACGAGAAGACTATAATTGCGAGCCCTTCCGCCTGTGTATGACCATTTAGTTATTTCTTGTTCTTTACAATCGTATTTGATGTTAATGGTTTATGTTTAAGGTTTACCCACAGATGACACAACACACTTTCAGCTGACTTAAGACATGTACCAACTCTCTCACAGTTTAAAGCAGCCCTAAAACGTATGTCGTATGAAACCTGTCTTCTTGATCTGTTTTTCCCTGGTGAAATAAATAAACAAACATGTCATTACATTGTAGTAAGAATACTACTGCAACTCCCTGATAGAATTTATTGTACGAAAACCATCATTATACAAAGACACGCAGACACACACACACACACACACACACACAATATATATACACACACACACACATACACACACACACAAGGTTTCACAGACAGACACACACGTACACACACTACACACACACACACAAACACACACACACACATACATACACATACACAGAATACACATGTGGACACACGCACGCACATAGAGACACCAACACACACACACACACACAGAAACACACACGGCCACACACACACACACAGAAACACACACGCGCGTGCACACACGCACACACACACACACACACACACACTCACACATACATACATACATACATACATACATACATAGTATTACATACATAGTATTGCATACACATGGATATAATTTAGGTGTATGCATAAATACATACATCCATACTTGAACAGACACAATAAGTTACTCTGTTTCAATCCCCCAGGTTATCCAAGTCAGACTTGACCAAGACTGTCCTGGTGGAGGGTCTGGTATGGCCACGGGGCATCCGCCTGTCCACGGCAGCGCCTCCTGGCGTCACCACTGGTAAGTACATATCCAGACAGGTTTTGCACCTCTATTCTGTAGGCAACAGGGTCTGGCAACTAATATATATATATTAACGTATCATTGTGTCCGAATGGAGAAGCGTAAGAAGTGGATCCTAAGATTAGCAATTGTCGTCTTTGGTACATATTGTACATATCGTGGTGTCAACATCATCTTAAAAAAGTCTGCTTGCACTTAGCTATCAGTTAGCACAGGGGCTGGGACTCTAGTTGAATGTGCATTTGGTAAATAGGATGCACAGTTGAACTGCTCGGCTTTCTATTCAAACATTTCAGTGATCCCTACATCACCAGCAACAACTGTGAAGACAAGCACAGCTCCAGTCACTACACCTTCGACTGCTGAGGGAAAAACTGCTCTGGTCATCACACCTTCGACTGCTGAGGGAAACACTGCTCCGGTCATCACACCTATGACTGTGGAGCAAAGCACGGCTCCGGTCACTACGCTATTGCAAGGCGGTAAGTAGTTAATAAAAACTCGGCAATGCGTTTTTTTGTTAAGACCTAATACTGTGCCAATTTCTGTTTCTGTCAGTCAATGGGAACCGATTTAAAATCACATTGCTCCAGTCGAGTCTGAGTGGGAGAGTTTAACAGTGACTGGTTTGTCGAGAAGAAGAAGTCGAGTCTGAGAGTTATTGTATAGAGAATACCAGTTCTCTATGCAGTTATGAACTAGTTTCCTAAAATAGTATGAATTTGATTTTTGCAAAGCTTAAAGGATATAATGTTTCTGTAGGTTGTCCAGTGAGTTACACCTTACACGGGGATTCGTGCTTCAAGGCGTACAACCAAGTCAAAACCTACAGTCAGGCCAGACAGGTGTGTGCAGCGGATGGGGGGCTCCTCGCCATGCCGAAGGACAGAGAAGTGGACGACTTCTTGTTGGACCTAAAGAACGCCGTGGATACCAATTCTCCTTTCTGGTTGGGCCTGAACAATCAGAACGGAGAGGTAGGGTGGGCGTGGGAAGACGGGACTCCATACAGCCCAGCCGCAGACTGGACTGGGTGGCAGCCCAGGGAACCCAACAGTAACGGAGAAGGCTGTGTCAACCACCTCGGGGCCGGATGGAACGACGCGCCGTGCTCGTCCGCATCCAACTTCATCTGCCAGCTAAAGGACGGTATGTCAAAATTATGTCAACTTTACCTCCGCAAATTAGTAACATTATTTTGTTCCTTTTTCTCTCCTTCAACTCCAAATTAATATCAATGACTCGGACCACACGGTTGTCCCTCCTGTCTCACAGTGATCCTTGTTGTTTGGTTATATTGATGGAGCAATGTGGCAGGGCCGACCTCCAGGGACGGCTGGTCACCAATATGGTGTTGGAATAAATTATGTAACAATATGACGGAACAAACTGGAGGGGCTGGTCACTATCAACCTGAACCTCGTTGTTATAAGTCAAAATAACAAGATCAGTTGTTGGGCTGGACCATGTTACGGTGACATTGCAAATGTTACAGTTCTACCTAACAGGCTGTTTTCTTACACAGCGCTAGCGATCCGCTGCCCCCTCGGGTACTTCCGGTGCGGACACGGTCATGCCTGCACCCTGACCTGGAGGCGGTGTGACGGGAGGACGGACTGTTCGGACGGGAGTGACGAGGACGGTTGTGGTAAGCTGCTCTCACAAAGTCCTTTTAGTTTTCACATGCAAACAGTTGCTCGTACAATAACCTTACTTGTAAATTCAATTTTCTTTCCAAGGGAAGAAGGTCTTGATATTAAGCATTATTTACTCCTGTTACCGTCATGCTTTTCTCACAATATTAACTCCCATCATCCAAAGTCTGTTGACTATACTATTTGTTTTGTCGTGGCCCTTAATGCTGAAAAAAATTGAAAGTAACAAGAAAATAAATAGAAATAAAAGAATAGAATCATTATTATGGTAAAAGTCCGATGATTTTATGATGCTGCCAAAAAAGTTTCAACTTGCATTTCGGGCAGAATTCTTACTGGATCATTTTTACATCTTTGTCAGTGCCTCCTGTCGATGTTTAAAGCATGTGAATGGTACAATGGCTATTTTGTAATATGCAGAGTGCCTGCCGATTCCTGTGGATTTCAACCTCGGCGGTAGACTTACAATGTTACCCAATCAGCTGGACCAGACGACGTTTGAGGAGATACAGAATTCCTCTGCCGTGGACCTGCTCAACAGTTCGCCCACAAACGGACAGAACCGACATCCCGAGTTCCGGGAATTCGCATCTACAGTGATTTTCCCGCAATGTGCTGTACCCAAAGAGAACGACACTACCTGCTCTTTGTCTCGTCATGCAGACAACGCGACCTCTTGCATGTGAGTAAACACGCTTCGTTACGTTGATCATGATTTTTGACGACGCCTAAGGGGCGGAGCCGTTGAAATAGTACTGCGATTTGAGTTGAAAATATTCTAAGAATTCCACGTAAAGCATTCAATAGG